TGGGGGATCCCTCAAAGTAGGTAAACGATTTCTTATTTCAAAGGTACATAAAAGATTTGAATGAATTTCTGGCTTCTCATTTCAATTTAATAGGATTGTGACTTCTAGAATTTTAGTTCGAACCTCTCCCATTAACTCCGGCCTTCACTCTTTTTCTTTAAATGTGAATGTGAAATTAATAGCAATAAATTACATATAAAAGATAATCGTGCTGAAACACAATGCAAACGTAACTAATCATTATGATTTATGAGACACTCCCTCTAGTCATTACTATAAGAACTTGTTTGAGAGAGTAAACAAACCTCCTATAATAATGTCTAAGAGAGTACTTATGTGTTGGGAATATGATACCGTAATATTTATGTCAATAAATAAAATTCTAAAACTATAATTATACAATAAAGAGAAAAATGCTAGACACGTTCATCTTCAATATGTACGGTGGCCTCTTTCAACTTGAAACGCTTTTGAAATTTGATGACTACATATTCATCTATTGCACTTGCCTTGCTATTTGCATGAATGACTTACTTTTCTACACTCTCTTATTCAGGTCAGATCAGTTTCAATGGCCGACTTTGGAGTCAGTTTGGGGGCGAATGTTGCAGCAAGTGCGGTGACAGCAATAGGACGAGAAGCTCTTTATTGTTATGAATTCAATGAGATTGTTACAGACATGGATGTTGGACAACAGAAATTAGAGTCAACCAGAGCTGGCATGGAAGCCCAATTTAGTAAAGACAGAGTCAACACTAAAGAGCCTTCGGATTACCTTAAGGAGCAGGTGAAGGACGCAAAAGTTCTCATAGCCGAATCGGAGAAGCTGAAAGGGGAAGCAGAAGCAAGCCAGGACTGTTGCAATGGGGCTTGCCCTAACTGGATAGGTCGATACACTGTAGCCAAGAAAGCAAAGAAGAACAAGGAAGCATTGAAGACGCTCCATGACAAATTTGGGGCCAAAGCTATTATCACGTCGTCTATCACTTCGACCCATGGGCCCATCAGAAGAATTTATTCCTTTCAAATGCACAGAAGAGGCTGGCAAAGAAATCTTAAAGGCAGTGAGAAATGATAAGAAGATAAGAATAGGGCTTTGGGGAATGGGGGGTTGTGGTAAGTCGTCCTTGTTAAAAAAACTGCAGAAGGAAGTTGAAGACTCCACACCTTACAAGACGGCATTTGCTACTGTGTCCAATCCTCCAAATTATCTAGCTATTCAAGACAGCGTTGTAAGCCGGATGGGCCTGGAATTTGGGCCGACAGAGCGAAATGTACAAGATAGAGCTGCAAGACTGCGTATGGCATTTGATGCAATGGATGATGAAAGTAAGTATCTTATAATCCTGGATGAAGTGTGGGATGTGCTTCACTTAGAAGCCATAGGAGTTCCTGTCGGTGAGAAATGCAAGGTTCTTCTGGGTTCTCGGAATAGACGTATATTTGACATGATGAAATTTGATAAAGATGCAGTGATTCCGCTGCCACTTTTAACGAACGAGGATGCCTGGAAACTGTTTCAAATGCATGCTGGTAAAGTAGAAGATTCATTCCTACAAGTGGCTCAAGAGATCACTCATGAATGTGACAGATTACCTGTTGCAATTAAAGCTGTGGCTAGTACTTTGAGGACTAAAGAACTTCATGAGTGGAAAGAAGCATTCGCGACATTGAAAGATCGTAGGCGGCCACTAGATATTGAAAAAGGACCGGATAATCCTTATACATGTCTAAAATGTAGTATTGATGAGTTGGAAGGTGCAGAAGAGGTATCACTTTATTCATTATGTACTCTGTTCCCTAACAATTCAGAGATTGCCATTGAAGATCTCATCAGATTTGCATTTGGGTTAGGCATATTTCTGGATGTCAAGTCATATGAAAGAGCAAGGTCGAAAGTGCCAACAGTCATTGATAAATTCAAAAGACACAGTTTGCTGCTACATGATGAAGGGCAGTGTGTTAAAATGCATTACATGTTGCGTGCCTTAGCCTTATGGGAAGCGAAGAACAAAGTTCAAGTGATTATGGGTCCCAGACAAAGTCTAGAGGATCTAACAAAGGAATATTATATGAAAGATACAACCAGATTATATGGCCGTAATATATATGTAATGCCAGATCAGTTGAATTGTCCTGAACTTGAGATACTACTAGTGTCCAATGATAATGGATGCTCAACAGAATTCCTAGATGCTTGTTTCAAAGGGATGGTAAAGCTCAAAGTGCTCGCCATCAAAAATACATCCATTGGGATGAACCCAGTTCTACTGCTACCTGGATCAATTGACAGACTAAAAATGCTTCGAACTCTTTGTTTGAGAGGATGGACATTAATTGATATCTCTGTTCACCAAAAATTAGAGATGCTTCACACTGTTGAGCTATCATATTGTGAAATAAAAGGGCTTCCTGAAGAATTAGCAAATCTAGAGGCATTAAGATTATTGGAAGTGTCACATTGCAAAATAGGAGGGAATCCTTATAAGGTGCTTACCAGATGTTCCCAACTGGAGGAGCTGTATTTCGTTGAAAATGATCTTCCAGATATGGTGCAGGCAGATCAAAATGTTGCTGAATTTTTTCACCGAATTGGCTCCTTTAAGGTCCTCCAAAGGTATCATTTAGAAATTGGAGGCTCCATAAATACTTCCAAGGATGATTATTCGTTGTCTAAACTCATATCCGTAAATAATTTTGATGCCTCTATCCCAAATGCAGTAGTCAAGGCATTGCCCCAGACACTTGAGGTTCTTTGCTTTGAAAAATTTCGGGGGAATTGTACAAGCATCGTTCCTGACATATTCCCAACACGGGGTGAATGTTTGGATGAGTTAAAAGAATTTGTACTTCGTGATTCTGATTGCATAAAATGGCTGATTGACACCACAAATGATCAATCATATCAAGCTAGAATCATCTTCTCCAAGTTGCAGGTGTTGAAAGTGGAAGCCATGAAATGCTTGGAAGCCTTATGCCATGGTCCACCTCCTTCTGGCCTTTTTGAGAAATTACAGAAGATGTTTATAACAAATTGTAGCCAATTGGCATCTCTCTTCACAGCTACCTGTGCTCAAAAAATGGTGATGTTAGAAGAGCTGGAAGTGATAGGTTGTGGTGACCTGAGGAATATGGTTACAGTCGAAAAAGATGAAGATATTTCAGTAGGGTCAGTGCTCCCAAAGTTGAACCAAGTCAGGGTAAAAAGTTGTGAAAATCTTGAATGCATAATGCCGATCTCTCTTGCTAGTGGCCTTCTGCGACTGGAGAGTCTCGAAATAGAAGATGCTGCTAAGTTGCAATATGTATTTGGCGAAGACAATCATGAAAAAGATCAAAATCAGAACCAGATGATCATTGAGCTACCAATTATGAAGAAACTCAAGCTCATTAACTTGCGAAACATCATCGGCATTTGCCCACAAAATTATCGTGTGAAGTGGCAATTGGATGAACGGTTTGTGGAGGCATGTCCAACGTTGAGGGATGCATCTTCTTTAGATTCAGAAATAAGACAAGAAGATGATGAGGAGGCTATGAAGCAGGTAGTGGTAAGACTAGTTTTTTATTTATGTGTGTATGTGTGTGTGTAGCCTGTAATTCTTTGGTTTGCAATAGATGGCCTGATTTTCAGATGGGTATAGTTCTCTTATCAGGCCAAAAACATTATAAAATGCCCTAAGCAATCAGTTTATTCTAGCTACGGACCAAATACCTAAATTGCCAATGAGAAAGCAAAGACCTTAAGTGATTTATTTTCCAAGACTCGCTACTTGTTAAAAAGTAGAGTAATTTGTAAGTTGCAATAAACATTCTTCATTTTATGATGGATTATTGAAGATTTTTTACTTAAAAATTTTACAAGTTTCAGTAATATGTATAACCCAATGACCTGATTTTTTCTTTTTAGTGGCAGTAAACGTATGCAAAGTTGGATTAACTATGTCATGGATAAGCTAAACTGTATTTAAGCTTTAAATTTAAGGTTAAGTGATTTTGGGGGAAAGGAATGTGAAACAGATTTAGATCTTTTCCCTCTATCTTTCCTCCCCGATCTCCCTCTTACATATATATTTTGAATTTCCTGGAATTAGGAACTTGGAAAATGTTTGTGTGCATCACTGTCTCTTCCATTTCAAATATACTTTTAAGAGAATTTCAGATTTAAAATACTGCATATAAAATTCATGCGTTTAAAATTTTTTGTTTGGGAATTATAGAAAATTGAAACCAATAACATCAAGTTACTATACTAGATTAGGTATTTGAATTTTGATGTTTTCATTTCAATTTTATTATTGACTTGAATCTTAGTTTGATCTCTGTCACATTCCAAATTGCATTATTTCTTTCTTTTAATAGGAAAGTGCAAATAACATTTACATCTAAGGGAGAATTTCATCTAAGCCTCTCAAAATTTTATTCCAAATTGAGCACTTTAAGATTCTGAAATTCCACTGCAAACTGAAAGGCTCAATCTGGAAATATTTTTGTTAATTACTTAAATGCCCCTTCTTCTTTTTCCTGATTGTTAACCTCGTTGACAGGGATCAAGTGAATTTATTGTTGTCACGCATGGCTTGTTATTGATTAACGCACAGGCACTTGTTAATAAAAATTTTCTTTTTGGTAGGATGGTTTTTTTTTTTTTTTTTTGGTTTTTTCCAGAGGAGGTGTTTACCCAATTGACAAAAAATACAGGTTGAGCCCTTGGGCTTGCAGTAGAATTTCATAATCTTAGGGACCTAATTTAGAGTAATAAAGTTGCTTGAGGGGCCTCAAATGAAATTCTCCTTACATGTCCTACAAAAATACAAACACAACAAATTAACAAGTCTTTTGTTCATCAAAAAGAAAAAAGAAAAGAAAAGAAAATTAAAAAGTTTCCATTATGATTTATAATATACTAATGGAAAGTATACAATCTAGTAATTATGCCAATAAAACATATTCTAAAACAATAACTATAAAATAAGGGCAAACAATTTAGACGCACGCATCTTCGATATATGTTATCCGATCATTCAACTTCAAATGAATTTTGGTAACTATAGATTCGTCTATGGTGTACTTACCTTGCTATTGCATGAATGACACATTTCTGTTCATTTCTATTCAGGTTAGATCACTTTCAATGGCCGATGCGGAATTGGGAGTCAGTTTTGGGGCAGGGGTTCTAGTAAATTGAGTGTCGGCGATGAGACGGGAGGTTCGTTATTGTTATCAGTTCAATGAGCTTGTTGAAGAGCTGGGTGATGAACAAAACAACTTAATGTCAACCACAAATGACATGCTAGCCCAATTAAGAAGAGAGAGAGCCAACTGTAAAGAGCCGTCATATGTCCTTCAGCGTCAATTGCTTAAAGCAGAGTATCTGATAGGAAAAGCGGAGACGCTTAAACATAAAGCAGAAGCAAGCCAGAGCTGTTGCTATGGGGCTTGCCCAAACTGGATACGTCGATATATTGTGGGCAAGAAAGCAGAGAAGGAAACGGTAGCAATGAAGTATCTTAATGCAAGTTTGAGACGAGAACTGTTGCCATTACTTCAACCCATGGGCCCAGCAGAAGATTTCATTCTATTCAAGAGCACAGAAGAAGCACGCAACAACATCTTAAAGGCACTGAGAGATGATGAGAAGATAAAAATTGGGCTTTGTGGACCGGGGGGTTGTGGTAAGTCAACCCTGTTAAAAGAAGTGCACAAGGAAGTGAACGACTCTAAACTTTACCAGACAGCATTTGTTGTTGTGTCCCACCCTCCTAATTATCATGCTATTCAAGAAAGCATTGCAAGCTGGATGGGCCTGGAATTTGGGCCTATAGCGCAAAATGTACGATCTAGAGCTGCAAGATTGTGCATGGAATTTGGAATGGTTGATAAAAAATTTCTTATAATTCTGGATGATGTGTGGCAAGAGCTTGACTTTGAAGCCATCGGAATTCCTATTGGTGAGAATTGCAAGGTTCTTCTAAGTACTCGACGGCAACAGATATGTGACATCATGGAATTTCGCGAAATGATTTATTTGTCACTTTTAACGGAAGAGGAATCCTGGCAATTTTTCCAACGTCATGCTGGAGAAATAAAAGACACATTCCAACAAGCAGCTTGCGAGCTCACTCGTGAATGTGGTGGATTACCTATTGCAATTAAAGCTACGGCCAGTACTTTGAGGGGCCAAGAACATTTTGCATGGAAAGACGCACTGGCAACATTGAAAGAACGTGGATGGCCGCTAAATATTGAAGAAGGACTGGATGATGCTTTCACATCTTTGAAATTCAGTTTAGATTCGTTGAAGCATGATGCAGAGGAGCTATCACTCTATTTATTATGTGCTCTATTCCCCAAGGATTTAGAAATCGCTATTGAAGTTCTAATCAGATTTGCATTTGGGTTGGGCATATTTCAAGGTATTGACTCATATCAAGGAGCTAGGTCCAAAGTGCATGCAGCCATTGATAAGTTCAGTAAGTACTGTTTGTTATTGCAAGAAAGACAGTATGTCAAATTACACGAACTGTTACATGATTTGGCCTTATGGGAATCAAAGGAAAAAACTCAAGTGATTATGGGACCTAGACAGATTGTAACCTTGACAGAGGCAATATATATGAAAGATACAAACAGATTATATTGCCATGATATAAGAGAAATTCCAGATCAGTTGATTTGCCCGGAACTTGAGATACTAGTTGTGTCCAATAATGGTGGATACTCATCAAAATTCCCATATATGTTTTTCAAGGAGATGGTAAAACTGAAAGTGCTAGCCATAAAAAATACATCTATTGGGATGAACCCGGTTCTACTGCTACCTGAATCAATTGATAGACTAAAAATGCTTCGAACTCTTTGAGAGGATGGACATTAACTGATATCTCTGTTTTTCAAAAAATGGAGATGCTTCACACTGTTGAGCTATTATATTGTGAAATGAAAGAGCTGCCTGAAGAATTAGCAAATCTAAAGGCGTTAAGATTATTGGAAGTGTCACATTGCAAAATAGGAGGGAATCCTTATAAGGTGCTTACCAGATGTTCCCAACTGGAGGAGCTGTATTTTGTTGAAGATCATCTTCCAGATATGGTGCAGGTACATCAGAATGTTGCTGAAATTTGTCATCGAATTAGCTCCTTTAATGTACTCCAAAGGTATCATTTAGAAATTGGAGGCTCCGTAAATACTTCCAAGGATGATTATTCGTTGTCTAAACTCATTTCCATAAATAATTTTGATGCCTCTATCCCAAACGCAGTAGTCAAGGCATTGCCCCAGACACTGGAGGTTCTTTTCTTTGAAAAAATTCGGGGGAATTGTACAAGCATCGTTCCTGACATATTTCCAATACAGGGTGAATCTTTGGATGAGTTAAAAGAATTTGTACTTCGTGATTCTGATTGCATAAAATGGCTGATCGACACCACAAATGATCAATCATATCAAGCTAGAATCATCTTCTTGAAGTTGCAGGTGTTGAAAGTGGAATCCATGAAATGCTTGGAAGCCTTTTGCCATGGTCCACCTCCTTCTGGCCTTTTTGAGAAGTTACAGAAGATGTTTATAACAAACTGTAGCCAATTGGCATCTCTCTTCACAGCTACCTGTGCCCAAAAAATGGTGATGTTAGAAGAGCTAGAAGTGATAGGTTGTGGTGAACTGAGGCATATGGTTACAGTTGACAATGATGATGATATTTCAGCAAGGCCTGTGCTCCCAAAGTTGAACCAAGTCAGGGTAAAAAGTTGTGAAAATCTAAAATGCATAATGCCGATCTCTCTTGCCAGTGGCCTTCTGCAACTAGAGAGTCTTGAAATAGAAGATGATGCTGAGTTGCAATATGTATTTGGTGAAGATAATCATGAAAAAGATCAAAATCAGAACCAGATCATCATTCACCTTCCAGCTATGAAAAAACTCAAGCTCGTTAACTTGCGAAACGTCATCAGCATTTGCCCACAAAATTATCATGTGACGTGGCAATTGGATGAACGGTTTATGGTGGTATGTCCAAAGTTGAGGGATTTCTCTTGTTTAGATTCTGAAATAAGACAAGAAGATGGTGAGGAGGCTACGAAGCAGGTAATACTAGTGCGCATTGGCACACACTATTATTTACAACTTAGCCTAACAATTGCGACAATCACTTGCTAGCTTGACAGGAAGTTCGTTTTTTAAGTCCAAAGGCTTGCTGGTGTCGTAGAAGAAGATGCATCAAAAGTCTTGATGCAAGAATTTGATTTAGTAGTTGACACTCAAGAAGGCCTTTAAGAGCAAAATTTATATTACTTTCTTTTACATTTGTGAATTACTCTCAGTAAATTACACTATATTTTAGGTATATAAAATTAAGTTGATCACTGAAGTTAAACTTAGAAACTAAAATGCATCAATTATCAATTAATGTGCAGAATAACACAGAAACATCAAAGGGAAGTCTTCATAAAAATCCTGCGTCAGAAGAATCAACAGTAGGAACTTCATCACAGGTAGGCTCACTGCACTCTTCTTCATGGGATAACATGATACAGAGGATAAACTAAAAGGCTAAAATTGTTGATCATATATACAGGAGTTGATTGTGAAACAACCACAGGTTAAACTTGAACCGCCACAGATTGTGATGGACTCGCAACAAGCTCTTGAAGATTACAAAGGTATCATTTGAGTTAATCAAAAGAACTAATGTACATATCCAAGTTGCACAAACTGTTAGCAACTTTAAAATTTCAATTGAAATGTTTCCAAGCTTCAAATAAATTGCAACTTGCTGCGATGACTTCCCAAACTTTCTCCTATTTTAAATATTTAAATTGAAATTGGTATCATTGTTATTTGTAGTGTCTCTTCCTCTGTCTATGGATCCAACAGTGCTTTCACCAGGTAGTAGCATCACTACCACTCTCCTGACTGCAGAAGCACTGAGGACTTCGTCTTCAACAAATCAGCACCCTCCAGCAGAGGAGTTGATTGATTTTCATGGTCTGTTTAAGATTAAGGCAAGGCGTGCTTGCTTGCTCGAAGAGGCATTTGTCAAATATCCACATTTATGGCAATGGAAACGCAAACAAAGGACTCCTAGGATTTGCAAGGTGGGATATAAATCCTTGGCTGACATGTTGGCATTCTTAAACTCAGAGACACCAAAGACAATGGATAATTCAAAGATGAATGAATTTGAAGATCTATACTATGAACTGGAACATTTTGGCTTTGACAAGATGTGGCTGGCATCTGTTCGACAAAGAGTGACGGATATGCAAGCCAGTCATAATAACAAGTTGGCCTGGCTGGATCAGTTGGAGTCTCAAATAAGCACTAGAGTTGGTAAACGGGCGGGCCTAGCCTATATGGGCTCGGCCCTTATAGGCTTAGGCCCTAAAGCTCGGTTACCCCAATTTGATCCTAAAATTGAAGCCCGACCCTTATTCATAGGGCTCAAGGCCGGGCCCGTAAGTCCGGATAAGAATAAAATAAAATAAAATAAAATTCAACATTTAAATTTATTTAGAATATTTTAAAATTTAACATATATCAAACCAAGTCTCACATAATCTAAAAAATGAACAAAAAATTTAAAAGTCCAAATAAGATGAAGGCAAACATCATCATCAATCCTAATTAAGATCTCCCTCATTATCATCCATAAATAAAATATTAAAACCCTCAGATGTAGATCCATTTGTGAAAGATGGAGGCGGAGGCTCAATATTAATTATTTCTGTAGCTTCTTCATCATCACCTACAATAATTATTAATTAAATTGTTTTATTATCAAATATATATCTATACATATATCACAAGATAAAATATAAAAATTACTATAAAATGGTACAAAACAATTCAACCAATTGCTGGTACAAAATACAAATCAATGTTTGCACATTATCTGGAAAGAGGTGAAAACAATACTTTGTGAATAGTAAAACGGGTTTCGTGGGCCGCCCGGGCCTAAGCCCGTTTTTTTAGGGCTTAAAAGGGCCGGGCTTCGAAGCCCGATTACCCTAAAAAATGTCAAATTTTTAAACCCGAACCCTTATTAAAACGGGCTTAAACGGGTGGCTTGTCAAGCTCGGCCCTTATTCCCAACTCTAATAAGCACCTTGGAAGAACGACTCAGTGATGCAAGAGCAAGCTTGGCTAGTGTGAAGGATGATCTCTCAAAACCTGGTGATGTATTTGGCTTTTAAGTATGCTTAGTGATGAGACATGAAACTCTTGAGATCACTCTATTTGTCTGAACTTTGATTTGGTTTGTGGTTTATCATACTTTATTTTCTAAGAACACCCCCTGCAATTGTACTTCCAAACAACATGTCCAAAATTGCCATGTTGACTAGATCTTATCTTTCTTTATCTTGGATTTCAAATATCTGTAATAATAGTCATTGTTCTTGTATCCCCACGTATTCAACATGCTCTGAGTAATATATATGTTATTTGGGCAAATCCTCTAGTTCTTATGGCTCACATGCCTGAATCACTTCCACTCTGAACCTAACTTCTTGACTACTAACAGGTGAAAGCGGAAAGACAAACAAAAGCAAAAATCAAAACTTGTGTAACTCCTATTACAGTAGATTACTATAAATGGTTGGAATGGAGAAAGAAAATAATATTTAAATCAAAATAAACTTCAATAGAGTATAATTATATTTTTATTTCGTTCTATATTATCCAACTAAAATCTTCAAAGATACTTAGGCCTCGGTCTTCGCTGAGATTGCTAATGGGTAATAACAAAGAAATTTAAAAAAAAAAAATACTAATGGAAAATGATAGCATATACAAGTTTAAAATGTTTTTGTAAATTTTCACATATTGCTCTTGAGGAAGGAAATTATTATGTACATTTTCTTTTAATAATTACTTTCTATCTTTTACCAAGATTTGGTAACAAGCTTAACATTACAATGAAATTTGAACCTATCCTTGCAAATAAAGGTGAAAATAGGTTAAGTAAAGTTTTGGCCAAATAAACTAAAAGTTTAAAACCTGACCTAAAACTTATATAAGACTTTTGACGACTCAACCCTAAGCCTACCAATACCTAACTCGCAAGCCTATTTTTTAAAAAAATTTATCATTAACCTTTTAAATAGTCTTACACACTAAGCTCTAAAGGCTTTTATATAGGCTTTAAGGCCATCAAAGCCAACACTTACATAAATAATATTATATATATATATATATATATGTATATTAAATAATAAATATACTTTAATTATTGAATGATTATAATATAATTAATACACATATTTAAAGAGACTAGCCTATTAAGCTCGTAGGGCAGGTCTTGTGACAATAACCCTAACCTATTTTTTTATAGTACAAAAGTTTGGATGAATTGGGTTACAAAGTTACTTACGAATCGCTCATTAATAAAAATCTTCACATTAACAGTAAGATTCAAATCCACAACTTTATAGTTGTTGGCCAATCCCTTTGCTAACTAAAGCAACTATTCTTGGCTTGTGAAACATATATTAATTTTCCAATAGATCAACTAGCAACTCAAAGCTTTCTTATGTTAGAAATGGTAATATACAAAAGAAGGTATGAATTACTTTTCTATCAAATTTTTATACTTTATTTTTTGCTAAAAACAGAGTATGCTATAAGTGTATTTTTAATGACAGCAAGCCTTATAATGAGCACAAAAAATTATCTCTCTTTACCTATAAAATAGATAAGAAGTGTAATATACATCTTAACATTATCATAATATTCCACACAAAATTATGCTACTAGGATTTGATTAATCCCCTTTCAGTTACCATGATAGAAAAAGGTGAAATAGATTTATAATTAAAACATTTAAAAATTAGGATCTCATTTAAAAAAAAAACCTTTTGTGTTTAAGGTC